CCAAGAGCCGCAGCGTGGGGCACACTCCCATATGTATCTTCATCGTTAAATAAAGTTGATCCGAGCGAGAATAATGTGTATATCAAAATAATTGTCGTTACACTAGTCTTTATATGGCGATTTTCTTTTATTTCGGCTTTTGGTTAAAGTTGCTCCAGTTTCACTCCAGACTTTTAGGGATATCTCACTCCGGAGTGACTCCGGAGTATGCCACTCAATTAACAACCTTATGTATTACCATTAGGGAAAATCTTTAAGCAAATGATTGAGAATACATATCATGAACTAACATTATAATTAAATCTATTATTTGCATTTGAATGTTTGTGGAAAAAACTGTAGTTTAAGACATTAAATTTATTTCAACCTTCGAATTAAATCAAATTGTATCATTCCTGTTCGAGCATTGCTCAGTATCTTTACCAAAGCAGTATCAAAATTACTGCTTAATACATAGATTAACTCATTGCATTGGCTTAGAACTACCAATTTGGACGACGGTAGAACGAAACTATCATGTCATACCACACCAGAACCATTGTTAGTACACAAATATCCGGGTATATCTTTATTATTGATGACTTTTGTTTGTGATTGTATTATCCACTTTTATACATTAACCTTTCATTATTTCAATGATCTTGGCGTAAATCTGTGTATGAAATTTATTCTTATTCATTCAAATGATCGGAAATTTTATTAAACAAATTTCATTAGTCGTTATATCCGTAATCTTTGATAATAAAACCTTGTCGAAAGAAAACCTGATTACAAAATCTATGCATTTATATCTCACAGCAGTGTTTGCGATTAAAGAATTCATTCGCATGCAATATACAAACAATTTTAGAAGAATAACAATTAATAATTAACACACAATAAATATTTACTTAAATTCGTGAGTATTTACGCGCTACTTTTTAAAAAGTTGGTTTCGATTAGCGAAATTCTACTTAATACATTCTTTGAAAATAATCTCAAATTTCTTACACTCTTTGAAAATAAACTCAAATTTCTCTTTCTTTAATTATTTTAATGCAATATAAATATTAATCACGCCATGGGATGTTTTCCCTCTAGGTTAGTTGAAAGAACCGAGTCTATGGATGCACAAAGTTCCCAAACTGAATTCCGATACATTAATGGTAGAAGATTTCATAACGTGGAAAATGTTAAATATCATTTACCAAACGATGAAAATGAATCAGATAGGCTGCATTCTCAGCATTTCATATTAAGATATCTCTGGCAAAGCAATTTTTCTTCTCCTGTAGATCATATTTTGTCTAAACCAGGTGCAAAAGTCCGTGATGTCGGGTAATTATTATATGAAATTTCTAATTCTATATAATAAAATCAGTAAATATACAGTATATTGATGGTTTTGTTAAAAAAAAAATAATTGCACCAATTCCTATTTTAGGTGTGGTGCAGGTTCATGGTCTTTTGATATTGCAACCACGTACGTACCTCATATATGAGTATAGTTGAAAATAATTATGCAATTTTTTTTTTTTGGTTTGTAGGCTTATTAGAATATTAATTTTTATGTTTTCTTAGTTATCCATTAGCTAAGATTATTGGTTTAGATATATCTCCACATCAACCAACTACTATAAAACCTAAAAACTTTGACTTCGTTAAGTCAAATGTTGAAGAAGGATTGCCATTCGATGATAATAATTTTGATTTTGTATTTCAACGACTTTTAGTAATTGGTATTACCAAAGAGAAGTGGCCATACGTAGTAAATGAGTTGGTCAGAGTTTTAAAACCAGGTGGATTTTTAGAGGTATGCTTATTTAAGATATGATATAAATAATGAGTGTTAATATTTAAAGTAATTTATGTTTGATTCCTTTTTTTAAAAAAAAAAGTTATGTGAGCCTTCTAATATAGCCGATACAGGACCAGTTACTAAAAGTTTATGGGATTGTGGTGTGTATATTATTATTACAATAGCTTTATCCTTTTACTTACATAAAATTTCATTCAATTTATCATGAAGAATACGAAATATTAGAACAACAAGGCAGTGATTTTGATTCATATCAAAAGTTAGAGGAATATTGTCGAAATCAAGGTTTTCATCTCTTTATCTGCTTATAAAATTAACATGATGATTTATTAATAATTATATAATTCCATATTAGGTCAATTGGAAAATATTAAAAAAGAAGTCAAACGATGCTATTATGGCAATTATAGCAGTGACGAATTTAATAAAGCGGTAATGTACAAAAGTAATCGTTTTTAAAAAAAAATTTAAAAACATTTAATGAGGCATTTAATGCGTATTATACATATAAACTTAATAGGTTCTCAATAATATGATTTCCATGTATTCTTCTCTTAAACCTGTTTTAACAAAAAAATTGCAAATTTCTGATGAAGAATACGACGAGTTGACTAAAACATCCGCAAAGAATTAGTGGAGTTTAATTCTTATTGTCAAGTATTTCGTGTTTATGCAAGTAAAATTATTTATAAATAATTGTGAATTAAAAAATTTAATATGTTATTAGCATGAATGAATGATTTATAGTAAGTTAGAAAAGATTAATGTTATGATAATACTAGAATAATGTTAACATAAGATTAAGATAATCTTAAAGATATTTTTAAGTCAATGTTAAGATTAATACATATTTAATATATGATTTTTTTAAGTTTTTATGGCAAATTTTTTGTTTTTTTTGAGTTTAAATCAGAATTTTAAGAATAAATTTTTTTATAAAGAATTTATCTTGTTTGTATAGAGGTTAAGTATTATTGTGGATTTTTAAAACTTTATATTGAAATAAATAAATAAAATATTGAGCTAATTAAATAAAATATTAAGTTAAAAATTATGTAAAAAATCTAAAGCTTTTAAATAAAAAAGTTTAAAATTTTAAATAGTAGTTTTCAAGTTAATTAGATTATACAATCTTGTATAATATTATATAAGTAATTTTTAAAAATTATAATATAATGATGGGAATTTCTATTTGTACCCGTTGGGTATGATACCCGGTATAAGAAAAAATCAAAAATCGAAATTTTACTAAAGTAAATTATTCAGCGTTTAATTTTACATATAACTACACATGTTTTTAAATCTAACCCTAACCTTAATATATATAGAGCATGAAATAAACATTATACCGGTTATCATACTCTTAGAGTATTAAATTTCTTTTAAAAAATATTTATTAAATTACTATCTATAGTAATTTAAATGTTATTTAGTAATTTATTAATTTTAATTTAATAATTAATTTTAGGATTTTACTAAAACGCACCTATGGTGTTTTACCCTATGAATAAGTAAAAATGTTCTACGCCCCAAAAACCCTTCCCAAACCCTAATCCTAACCTTAATATTAACTTTAATGTGAAAAAAATTTGTTTTAAAAATTTTATATGCAAAATTTATAAAAACTTAGAAAATTTTAAAAAACATAATAAAAACATATAATAGGTGCAAAACCACCATAGGTGCGTTTATAATAATTGTTAATTTTATATTTAAAATAATATAGTCAGACATCTCTAAATATACATTTTTTTAAATACATACCTCTTTAATTGATGACTTTATTTTGCCTTAACTTATATAACACTTATAGATTTTACTTTTCTGTACAGAAAGATTTTTTGGCCACCTTCAGCTATGTATTTAAAGAGGTCTGCTATAGTTAATTTAAAATTTTTTAAAAATTTATAAAATTTTAAACTTATCTATAATTTGTTATACTAAACAATTTTACTTGAAATTTGATTTATTTAATAAATAATTAACTTTTTAATAAAAATATTATATAGAATTTTTATTTGTACACGGGTAATATAGATCTCTAAATTTTTGATTATGAAACCACCTTTTTGCTTCTAACAAAAAATATACTTGTGAAATTTTGGTATAGGCTATATCTTGCCTAATTCCAAACCCACCCTTACCCTAACCATAAGCGAGGGTTTGGTTTCTCAGTTGTAAAAATTGTTTTGACGGACGTTACACAAATACCAGGAACGGAGTCTAAAACGGCCAAATCCTAATTTCTTAAATGAAGTAGAGCAGACACTTATGGGTCTATTCACCGAGTATTCACAAGGGCGACCAAGAATTTTTCGGGTCACTTGAAAACAAAAAAACATCTTAAAATTCGTTGAAGTTAGGGAAGCATATATAGTAAAATTAGTCGAGAAAATCTTTTAATTAGAGCATAAATGGCGAATTCTTATGTAAGTTCTTGAGATAAATGATGTTTTTGTCAAAACCAATGATTTGTTTTGGACTTTCCTGATTATGTAATGTTACACTTAATTACGATTTCCCATTGAATAAATTTGCTGTCGATCATCACGTGATCCGAAAAATTCTTGGTCGCTTCTGAAAACGAAGTGTATGGTTTATGTTACGACCAGGGGAGAGACTTTATATCCACTGAGCCAATTTAGTTTAGGGTCGCAAGCATTAAAATGAGAAACCAAATATTTATTAACACACACAAGGCACCAAATAATATATCCCAACAAGTGTACCCGGTACACTATTACGTACCGGTAACCCTTCCAAAATACTAATACCCAAATCTTTAACTCACAAAGACTCAAACTAAATACAAAAACTACTCTTACTAACCCGTGTTCTATAACCCTCTATTTATATCTACTATTAGACTCTAATAAGCTATACACTATTTACATACATGTAGTATAACAATATAAAGTCTAATTAAAGTATACTTTACGACTATAAACTTTGCATAATTATTACAAGGTAATACAACGAAAAGTTTAATTGTTATCTATGTTACGTTATTTTGCGTCTCCGCTTGAAGGATAAGCTCCGGCGAATCCGCAAAATCTTTGAAATCGAATAAATGCTATATGCTTCTTATGCATGACTCTTCATGTTAAATCTAAAATGCATTCTTGATTAATTCCGCATACATTAATGTTCGTGATTTTATATGACAAAAATTTTAAGCAGTCTACAACGTTCGAAAAAATTCTAGTCCAAATTGTTTATGAAAGTTTTTTTTTTTTTGTTCATTCAATTGTCCTGTTAGTGCCCCTTCGAATTTCTCCTGGGTCAAATACGAATCTGGTCCAGTCCGAGAAAGCTGACGTGTAATGGTTGATCGGTTTGGTAAGTAGAAATCTACACATATACCGGTAAAGTTTTTCCTAGTCCATTTAATAAGAAGATGTTTCAACTATCCATGAAACAACTTCTCTTGATAGATTCAATTGATCGACTAATGCCTTCAAGAAGATATTTCTGGCTTTTATCCACTTTCGAACTCCATTCATGTGCTTTCTCTCATCTTTATCTAAGCTTATATTATTGTGACAACCCCATATAATCCATTACCGAAATGATTTATATATAATTCATATCCACTTGTATTATTCAGTCTTATTTCCACGGATTGATGGCTTAATCACTTAAGGTGTGCAAACGCGACCATGAGGGTGTAAACTTAGTCATTTGAACCTGTTACAATCACCTACTTGCATATTCACAAGGAAATGACTAAGAAATGGGGATGTAAACTCCCCTGTGGATAGTGCTCCTAATAAACGGGTCGGGTCGGGTTTGGGGTCATCTCACAACAACCCGGGTTATGACCCGGGTTCGCAAATTTGCGAATCTTTCAAATAAACAATACTATTTTGCGTTT